TTCCTTTTCTTTTCTTTCTTCCTTTTCCTTTTCTTTTCTTTCTTCCTTTTCCTTTTCTTTTCTTTCTTTCTTCCTTTCCTTTCTTTTCTTTTCTTTCTTTTCTTTCTATTTATCTGCCTGCACTGCCATGTTTATTTCATTTCTACCCAAGAGAGATAAGAAAGTTTTACTTCCAAATGTGCCTGGGAATAATATGAATTATAAAAATATCTTATCTGTAACACATTTTCAGTGCATCAGAAATATGCTTTTTAATTTGGATTAGTGATAAACATATTTTTCATTTGTTATAAATGGAAAAAAAATCATAATCCCAATTAAGCCAGATCCTGGGGCAAGTTGCCCCAGTTACGTAAAGGGTCATTTTTGACAGTCCACCCCTTGTTGGTAGACAACTTTTCCTGCTGCACTGGTGTTTGGCAACTACACAAACTCTGCGGCTTGCCCACATGCAGTGACAGCATTGATATCTTTGACTTTATTGTACATCTTTGTGTGTGCAATTTTATGCATCAAATGTCATGGAAGTGTTGTAGAAACTCCTTTTTGGTATTAGGACCCTCAAAACATGTATTTCCATCAAAATCTCTTCAATTTTTTGCAGCATTACATAACTATACTACATATCCACTTTGTATATAAAAGGTCAAAAACATGTCTCTGTTTTTAGATGATTCCAAACTGCAAGTGATGGTTTTTTCCCCATTAGAATTCATTTATAATGACATTTTTACGAGTTGGAACTAATTTCTTTCTGTGAAAAGTGTGGACTTGTTTAAGAAAATGAAAAGAAAGTTAACAAAAATGACAATGATACGAAAAATACAGTTTTTTTGATTCATACAACTGTATTAGAAGCTATGTATTGATTTGATGGTCATTTTTAAGACTACATAGACATTTAAAAAAAATTCATTCTCTAATTTTTACAACTTTTGTTTTTTTTTGGGGGGGGGGGGACTTGTGTTATTATTTGTGGAACATATGAAATTCTTTATACAAGGTACTGTTTCAATACTATTCAATACTATTGTACTATTTTAGTGTCTCTTACTTTCAGGTTGTAGACTTAGAGACAGGTCAAACACTTGGACCAAATCAAAAAGGTGAACTCTGCTTTAGGGGTGAAACTATAATGTTGGGTTATTGTGGAGATGAGCAGTCAACCCAAGCAACTATTGATAAAGATGGATTTTTGCACAGTGGAGATATTGGATATTATGATGAAGATGGATATTTCTTTATTATTGATCGAAAGAAAGAACTGATAAAATATAAAGGGTTCCAGGTAAGAATATTTTTAAACTTTTACATACAATATACAGTTGTAATGTTTCATGAAATGTTCAATAGACCTAGTTTCTTTGTTTTTGAATTTTTAAACATATTATTATTATTATTATTATTATTATTATTATTATTATTATTATTATTATTATTATTATTATTCTATTTGTTGTTTTAAGAGAGAAAGAGATTTGACTCACAAAATGTGGTTATTTTGATATTATTATTATTAACTTGATTGGCCACATTGGACTACGAGTCGTTCCACTTCACTTTTTACTGTTCATGGTCGACATCTACGGCACTACTGCCTTAGCGATCTCGGCCACCGGATAGGCATTTTGATATTATGTCACCCTAAAAATAAAGATCATCTTCTGCTAAATTTCAATGACATGTTTCACAGAAATACACTGAAAATTAGTTAAAATAATGGAATTTGATATTTTTATTAGGTTGTAATGAAAATTTCGCAACATATTTTTCCTCTCTCCTAAAAGGTCACAATTTTTTAGATATGTGTTGTTAAAATTTAACCACTGATGTGTTAAAAAAGATGAATGATATGGATTCTTAGCTTTATGTTCAAAAACACTTAAAAATTACAAAGTATATCCCAAGTGTCCCAAGATTATGTCTTCTCATATATTATAGCGTAGAGAAAAAAAAATCTTACTGTTTGTCAGTTTTACCACCAACTGAATGTTTTCAGGTACCACCAGCAGAATTAGAAGCCATTTTGTTAACTCACCCATCAATAAAAGATGCTGCTGTCATTGGAGTTCCAGATATTGAAGCAGGAGAACTGCCTCGAGCGTTTGTTGTCAAACAACCAGGAGCAGTTTTATCAGAGGACCAAGTTATAGATTTTGTTGCTTGTAAGTACTCTCTTAATATTTTGTTATAACATTTGTATGAAATTGTTACAAATCCTTTTAAGATTTTATATTCCCTCATAAAATTTCTTGTATATCGTAAGTGAAATTTTTTGAGACAATTTCTTCTTTTCATATGTATCTTATCATATATTTTTCACTGACTTGTTTTTTGTTTGTTTGTTTGTTTGTTTGTTGTTTTTTTTTTGTTGTTGTTGGTTTTTTTTTCCCCAGTGAAGAGATGTATACAATTACTTAAACATTGTTTGCTCTTTGCTGAAAGTTCACAATTGATCAACTTATATTATTATGGTGATTTTGTAGATTAGGTTTGTGTTTTCAAGTAAGATGAATCAATGGTTAACTTCAGTTTAGAGTATATTAAAAATGATTGAGAGACTCTTGATTATACATATTAAAACATATACAAAAGTGGGCATGTGCTTGATCAAAACTGATATAAAGAGATTAACAGGTTAAGCAAAAGTTAAAATATAACCCAGAAATGTTTTGACTCTATATTGATTCCTCAGTTCCATAAGAGTTTGTGGTGCTATCAGCAAGTTTGTTGTGCCTGCTGGGATCTAGTTTGTAGATAGACTGCTCTAATCAGTGATTTCCATGGTTTACCCTATCACTCATAGGCCAATGCCAGAGCAGAACCCTATACAATGGGATATGCACTGCACACAAACTTCCCTCCCCATTCATCTCCCCAATCCACATTGGGATACTATGAAGGTGTACATTTAATATTGCCATTTTAACTAGTATTTACTGGCAGGGAAGAGGTACCAATGTACCATAGAGAATTGAATAAGAATGATACATAAAAAATAAGGAAGTGTTTTGCTCATTTACAAATTTTGAATATTTTTCCTTTAAATCTCAGCAATCAGATAAGACAATTGGAAATATTGTATTTATCTAAAACTTTCATTGCAAAATATTTTCAAGATTAACAGGTTGAATGCTAGTGTATTTTGCTGATGTTTCATTCCATGCCATATGACACTTTTCTGCTCAGTCTACTATATTTATCGAATAAAAAGTGTTTGATATCATGATTTTCAGGTGAGAGAAGGTAATTCTTGTAACACTTTAATGCTCTTTTTGCTATCTGAAGCAATGACAGTCATATGATGAGATTGAATCTAACACGCACTCTGCTTACCATCCCCCACTTGCCCCATCTCCTGTGTCCACTCTGTCCATATCCGAAGCTTGGGTTGATCTGCCTGATTCCCCCTTTTTATGCATTATTTCTTTTTGCAAGTACCATTTTGTAGTTGAAATGAATTGGAGAAACAATTTGGGATTGCAAACCACTGATTTCTTAAAAGCATTCATGATAATGAGAGCAATTGCTCTGTGGTTCAAACGTTATTGTGGAACAAACACCTAAAACTAGATGCTTTTTATATAATGTAAGGTTTTATCAGTATTTAAAACTTAGAAAATGTTCTTTTAATTGACAATAGTGAATAATAATTTACCATTCAGATACTGCATATTGATGGACTTCAAGGATTATTACAGTTTTTAACATTAGTATTTGTTACATATTTATGCATTTCAATAATGCATGAAGTTAGGTGCATTATATACACTACTGCCATTATCAGATGCCTCAGACAAGATGGTATGTACGGAAGAAACTGTATCATGTAGGAGAAAATCAGCCATGACTCCTATCACAAGAATTTTCATTTGAATCCCCACTGTACGAGGAAAATATAAATCTTTACACTCCTCCAAAAACATTTCATCACTTTCATAGTGCAAATGAAATAACTCCTGTACCCATTGCTGACAGTAAAATTTGTGGCAATTAGACACTCAGCATTAGTGAGTGCTATGTGAAGGCTTATCCAGAATTTTAAATTAAATTCATTCTATTCAATTCTTACTCATAATTTTTTTATATGGTAATAAAAAATGTATGGTAAATGTTACAAATATATGATTAAAAGAAAAAGATATAAAAATGTTATGACTTTAATTTTTCTAGACATTTTCCTTATTCAAACTACAATTAAAAAGTGAGGGACAAAGTGGATCCTCAAATGCTATTCATAATCCTTATCACAGTGAACCTGTTAACATCTATAGGAAAATGTGTTTTCAAATTAAATTTGTTTTGTTTACTGTCATTGCAGCTCAAGTTTCACCTGCAAAAAGATTGCATGGTGGTGTAAAGTTCATAAGTGAGATACCTAAAAATCCTACAGGGAAAATACTGCGGCGTGTTTTGAGAGAATCACTGAAATCTAATCTTTAAACACATAATGTTAACTCATAAATGTAAGTAAAATTTTCCAAAAAATTCATTGTGGTTTTCATACATTATTTCTTTACAAATGAATGAATTTATTGCAGCTTCAGAGAATAATGAATTTTTAATGAATGTTCTTTCTTTGTTGAATTTTTTACAGTTTGTAGCAAGTACTATTCAACCACTTCATTTTAAAAATTGACACCACTGGAGTGAATTTGGTATAAAAATGAGACAGCCCTGGTTGTGGTTTTCTAAATGTATTACTAAGCTTCAGCATTAACGCTTTACTGCAGCTTTCCATTGTTTTGAAATCTTGGTCATTAGTTTACATTGCCAGCACAATTCTTCCACACAAGATTCTGATTGTTATTTTATACCAACTTAACAGTGTTAGAGATTGTGAACCTAAATATTGAGAATCTGGTTATTCACTATTACCAAAGTGCCTGAATACTTCAAGTATTACTTTTTTATTGTTTGCAGATAGCATATATGATTTTCTCAGACATTGCATTTAAGTAATAATTATTTTACATTATATTGCAAAGGAATTTATATTCCGAAATTCATAACATAACATTTGTGTAACAATACAATTCATCTACATCTTCAATGAAAAAATACAGTTCCTTGAATGTTAATAAAAATATCAGTTTACAGTATCTTTGAGGTATTATATTTTCTAACTAAAAATATTGTATCTTTTAAACTTGGTCTAGTTTTAATTTGAATGTAATTTAAATTCTGACATTCCAGCAGTTAAGAATTGTTTTTAAAATACCTGTTGTCCCTTATACTAATATGCTTGCAGGTTTTTTTTTCTATCTTTTTGTCTTATCAGCATAACCTGAGTAATATTTAATGGATTTCCAAAATCCAGGCACCATTGCTGTGAAACATTTATGACAAATACATATTAGATTGTGAGTTATTAAATTTAATATTGTTTTTTCTTCATAAAATTGTATCACTCATCAGAAAAAAGCAGTTGTATGTTACACAAAATAAACTATTGTTTTCAATCCCTAACTGGACAAAGGCCCTATAACTAAATACAGCAATTTGAGTTTGTCCAATGATTACTCTTTTAATTTTTCTGATATATCGTTTCATCATGCAAAACAAATTTCAGAAATATCATGAAAAAGGTTTTATGCAAGTTGTATTCATACGTACAATACTTTTTAATCGTTCAATGCACCATTTTGTAAATTCAGGTAATTGCAATTAGTCATATTTTAGAATTTATTATAACCTGTTTATGTTATTAAAATTGATGGCAATGCCTATTCTTTGTTATTGATTTTATTTTATTTTTTCATTTTTTTTTCTTTCCGCCTTCAACGTAACTATCATAATGAATCAATCATCCTAAACAGTACTTCTCTGCTTCCTTTTCACAAATGATTTCCAGACTTTTAGAGAACATGCATATGCACAGAGAAGTACCACTGCCTCAGAAATCATTGTGCGCATGTTCACATTCATTAAAGGCCCTGAAATCAAGGAGCTTTTGCATATTTGGGAATTTTTTAAATTCTTTATTATGTTCATTTAAAGATTGGTAACCTTATGTATAGCGGGTTACTAAATTCAGATATAATGTTAGAATTGTTATAGGTAGTGTGTTTTGCTTCTATTTTGTGGGAACACTGTCACAACTGCTTATCTGCCTGTGATAATGTTTGATACATAGTAATTTGACAGTTATAACACCTGACAACAGCCAAAAGTTGCTTTGGATACACTATTTTATTTAGAAATCCCAAAACATTCAAGAACAATTTTTAAGTTAAGACATAGCTTTTTTATTTTCTATAATTTTCAGTCCTCCAAACATGCAAAGGCTCTTCTTTTCATAAACAACTTGTTTAGTGGCATTTTAAGAGTGAAGAAAACACAATTCAACTTAGCAAAAATAACACCCACCCTCCTAAAATATACCTTAAAAATTAGTTAAGAATTAAAAAATGATTAATTGTATAAATCAGAAAGGATGGACGAGAATATTAAATAAATATCAGCTGTAAATGCATTTATTTCCAATGTCAGCAGCATTTCTGTTTATAATGACATTTTATTGTTACTCTGATTTAGCATAGTCATGTTTGTCAATTAAATGAAAACAAAATTTAACTTTTGTGCAGACTTGTAGGGAAGATATCATGTGATTCTAAATGATATAAAGCAGAAGTCCAATTATCAAAACCCCAATTACATTACAATCTTCAATTGTCTGTATCTATTCAGAGAACAAAAAGCAATATAAATAAATATAAAATTATGGAAAGTGCATATAGTTATCATCATTCTAAAGGCGCAAAAGGGCTACTGTCTTTTTCGTCCCTGCATAGTTATTGAATTGTAGTTCAGTTTCAAATTCCAAAATATTCATTCTAAGGCTCCCTCTTCCTCTTTTTCCAAGCATTTTACAGTCCAAATTGTGTTTAAGAATTGGTTATGCCTAAAAATGTCTCATTTCTGTTCCAAAAGGTTTTTAGTAAGGCACTACTCTCTTTCTCTTTTTCTAAAATTACATTATTTAAAATTTTTTCAGTGCAAGAAACCTGCAGTATTTTTTGCTAGAACCATGTCTCGCAAGCTTCTAAATTATTCTTGTCCGTTTGTAAAAGCGTCCATACATCACATCGTATACTAGGACACTCCAGATATAACTTTTCAGAAATTTCTTTCTAATATCAAAATTTAGGTTGGTATTTGTGAGTTGATTTTTTTTTATTTAGGAACTACTTCTTTGCTAGTGAAATTGGCTTTCATATTTCTGTTGTGCTTTTGTCTTCAGTGAAAGTGCAGCCAAAATAGCATAAGTTGTGCACATGTTCTATTTCTGTTGTATCTAACATTATTTTATTTGATGTGTAGTCTTTCTCTTTCCCAAATATTGGGAATTTAAATTTCTTTACGTTAATTTTGATGAGGAATCTTTGCAGATGTCTTGTGACGCTATTTATCATTTTCTTTAAATGTTTTCTTGAACTGGCTAAAATTGCTATATCAGCAGCATATCTTAAACAGTGTGTTTCTAAACCATTAAATTGTATGCCCTTAGTTTTCCTTTGAAGTGTTTGATTGCTTCTTCTATAAACAAGATGAATAAATGGGGTGAAACGGAGCATCCTTGTCTTGCTCCATTTCTGATCTTCGGTTTGGTCTCCTAGCTATTGATGGTTATTCTTGCATATTGATTTTCATAGAAATGCATAATAATTCTTTGGTCCTTCCAGCCTTTCATGATCTGAAATTGTATTTTTCAGGGAACATTGTCAAAAGCTTTCTCGAAGTCTATGAATGCCACATGTGTGACCCCGTGTGACACCCCCAAAATTAGTTGCCATATCCTTTAATAACTATGTATGTATAAATGAATAATGCTCTAACATTTGTAAAATATGCTCCAGAACTAATGAAATATGTGCTAACATTATCAGTTTTATGTACTCATGAACAGTTACAAAATGTTGTGTAGTTAAGTAAAATTGTATAGTTAACTTCGTTGAATCGGTTCCAGAGGAGAGAAAACTAATTCTGGCAGCATGAAAAAGAAATATAGGAAAATGAAAATGAAACAACAATAGTAATTTAAAAATAAGTCTAAAATTTCATAAATGTTGCAATTTTAGGCTTATTTCATTGGATGTCAGAGTTGAAACAAGCTACGAAACACCTGTATGTTACCCATGGTAAAACTCTGTCTTATGTCTACCAACAGTTTTTTAGTGAGAGAAAGATCGCTCCATAGCACAAGATGTAATCAAGCATTACTTGAAATATGTTACATCTTTGGGTGTCAAATCCTGCTCTATATCACTCAATTTTGCATTTTTTGTTTCCACTTACTATTCCAGCGATAATTTTTCAAGTAAAATATAATGATTTTGTCTGTATCATCGTCAAAGCATCAATTCCATTGCCACAAATTTTTTATCAAAAAGAAATTACCATATTCATAATCTGACAAATCATTTCCGTGTACCAGCACCATGATATCATTTAAAAGAAATTCAGACAAATACTGCTGCAAAGAACGAAAGTCATTCTCACAATTTCTCATGAAAGTGTTTGCATTAACATTTTTGAAGTACATTTTTGGTTCAAGGAGACAAATATGCATATTAATTGAAATTTCAAAAGAAATATGCCATTTTAAGAACAAAATATGAATAATAACTTAGATATAATGGAAACATGATGCATTAACACAAAATGTGCTGTATAAAATAATCAATTTTTTTTTTTTAAATAATGTTTTGTGAACTTTTGATAATTAGCATATTATAAAGCTCTTAATTAAAAATATGATTTTTCATAAACTTTCAGGCCTTAATAATGAATGTTTATACATAATTTAATTTTTCTAATTTCTTGTAAATTATATAGCATTTTACTATTTTGTGGACATTGAGGCCCTTTCGATTTCTGAGCTTTATTCAACCATAGGAATTTCTGCAAACCTATTTGAATCAGCCTGATCCCCAATGAATTCTGGTAATTGGAGTTGCATAGCACACATGTTTGAACTGTTTTTGCTGTAACAGCTGCATGCAAAGAAGCAATTTATTACAGAAATTATCTGTACCTTTAGTAGTTTTCAAATATGCAGAAAGTTCTACAAAAATAAAACTTGCTCACTCTTAACAGATTTCATTATGGAAAAAAGCATCTTATCCTCAATGTTGTAGCTGCAGGAAAGTGCCAAAAAAATTTAACTTCTGCAATTTTCAAAAATTCAGAGCATATAACAAAAATGAGACGAATGGCATTTTTAAAGCATATCTTGCTCTATCTACAAAGAAAAAATCCAAAAATCTGGAGCCATTTTTGAGAAAAATTTGGAAATGTTAAGGCTTCATGTATCATTTTAAATTTGCAGGCTCTACAGTTCAACTGCATTGATCAGGAAAAATCAGTCTTGATCAGATTAATTTAGGTGCTAGTGTTGACCATTATTAGATGAACAGACATTTTCCCATCATCCAATTTTCAGTATCAACGTGCCAACAAAAAGTGGATTCTGACTACACTTGTTAGAGGAAGTCATTTACTACATAAAGGAACAAGGTTTTACCACTTTTTCAACATCAGGGCCCCTATTGTGGATTTTTCTAATGAAAAATTTCCACTTTCCACTACAATAATATTATACTACTTATTCTTTGCAATGTAAGTACGTGGTAAAGAGAAAGTTAAAAGGTAGAAAATCACAGGACCTCTTTTAGTAAATACTTTCCACAGTCCAAAGAATGTCACAGACTCATTAAAAGAATGAAACAAGACAGATTTTGAAATGCAATCCAAGCAGGAGTGAACTTGACACACCAAGGGAAAGATGAGAGAACAAACACTGCACTAGTTAATAAAAAAAAAGAGAACAGGTCACTATTTAGAACAATGCCTTTTATTACAAACAAAAGACTTTTTCATCGATTTCAATTAATAAGTAATTTTTAACCTTTCTCTGTCCTTTTTAGAGCATCATGATTTCATCAATTTTAACATCATTTTAATGGTACTTACTTTAAATAATATGATATGAATAACAAGATGCAACAAATTCTTCATAGAATTCCTGAGTAGCCTACTCTTTCTTTGCTCAGAAATTGAAAGGTCAGCTGTTGTCAGTATGTAATCTAGAGTTCTGTGATGCCACTAGCAGTTCAGCGAAATTTACAATAACTAAAGACAAGATATTTCCTTGTCCAAACCAAAAATTTACAAGCTATGTTCACTTGAATGAAAGGAAGAAGCCTCGATTACATCAGTAACATATCCATCAATTTGAGTTGTTCATGTGAACTGTTTTTGCCCAAATTTTTACATCATTTTTGATGATGTTTTAGGTCATTAAAATCTGCCCCTTATGAAGATGTCAATGAGAACATTGCACATATGTTTGAATGGAATAACTTGTTTTTTCTAAATGTATATCTATATGTTCCTATTTTACATCTTAAACCTTTGAGCGTATCTAACAAATATTTACATTAAATTGATATAACGCCAGATGCATCCATCTTGATTCTTTCCAGTCTCCCTACCCATTACGACAATGGAGCTCATGAATATGTTGGATACTTTTGAACAAGTGTAGCTAATAAGCCCATCATGCTTAGGCCTATATTAGATGTAGTCAGTTTACACTTAGATAACTCTAACTTTGCAGCCTGTAGACCCTACGTTGCACATTTGGTCTTATTTTCTGCTCGCAAAACATACCAGGGGTATGGAAGGAATCGAAAATAGAGTTTCACACATGAGCACTGGCCGTTCCCCATAATCTACAATATGCATAACTTATTGCATGTCAACCCAACGCTTGTGACACAGGCCTTAAGTGCATCCACTTTGGCAATCTCTTCTCCACCAGTCAGCCTTTTCTAAATGTGATACTCTCATATTTAAGTTCAAGTTCATAGTGGTACATCACTTTTTTGTTTTGATTTTAGTCATGAATGTGAATTAGTTTGCCTCAACGAGAAATAGTTATTACATGGCGACTAATTTTACTACGACTCATATCATTGAAGCGTACACATTTAGGGAAAGTGTCAGGATAGGATGTCAGAAATCAAAGACTATTTTTCTCAAAGTTTATATTTTTCAAAAGAATAACAATTCATAATGTTCACAGAAATAAGTTTTAAACCTATTTTAAACTAACTTTTTGCGTATAGCTTCTGGAACTTTCTCCAGGTACCATTCATGATTTTCTCCTTTTCCAGTAGCCAAGACACCACCTTTGTTTGGAAAGGGTGTATTTTTGTCATAAGAATATTCCTTGCCATGCATATCTGTAAGCTTCCCTCCTAGGGCTACAAGTATAGCTTCTGGAGCACAAGTATCCCATCTTTTGCAACCCGCACTGGCAAATACATAGGCATGTGCTTTACCCTCAATCAGTAACATCACCTGTAAACAAAATGAAAACAGCACACTTGTTTTCAACAATTCATGTAGCAAGTGAAACAATTTATTTTAAATATGGAAGACAAAAAATATCCAAATGGCTTAAGTTCTATGACTAATTATTTTCATGTGCATGTTGAGGGCAAGAATTTTTTTTTTTCCAGTCTTGACAATTTTAAAACGATATAATTTAGCTTAAAATTTCTTATTATAATTAGTGACAAAAATTTGTTTCTTGGCAAACAAAATTCTTCAAAATAAAAATTGCTTTCCTGGATAGTTTTATCTTAATCAATGAAAATTAAATGGTAAGATCTTAGTTTACTCAATATTTGTGAAAATGTATACTAAATTAATATAACATTTTAAGTAAATTATGGTAGATTTGTAATAAATTCATGTGTGTAAATGAATGCATGTGTGCAAATGGCTTTAGTGTAACTCACATTGTTCTTGTTCCAAAATATTGGAACAAGCAAACATAGCAGAAGTTGTTTTTTTTTTTGTCTTTCTTCGAGAAGGTTTAGAAAGGTTTATTTTCATTTATATTGACAAAACTGATTAATTTTGTCCAGTTATAGGCATGGTATAAGGACCTAAACGGAAGTATACCCACTTGTGATATGAACAGGTAAAGGACATGAAGAAATATGAAGTGCAGGTAAGTAACAAAAATTCTGTAATACAATGTTATTATCAACATTAACACTGTCATTTTCTTTCGGTGGCTCGATGTCTTCAATATCATCAGATGTAAGAAGACATCCAAAAGTAGTGGCAATGAACAGGTGGGATAAAGAAAAAAGGATTTCCATTTTGTTTTTTTCTGCTTTGTAACGGGCCATGGTCCTTTTAAACTTTCTCCACGGTATGTTAATAAGGGAAATTAGGTGTTCTTTAAGATACGACTTGGAGGACAACTTAAAGAAATGGCAGATACTCACATTCACAGTTCTTTTTAAAGAAACTTTCTTTCACTCTTTTGATACCAACTGAATATTCACAACAAAATGAGAAAACAAGCCAGTTACAGTTAAAATTATGCAACTCCAAACTACCCCACTTTGGCTGTCAACAGACAGATGTGTCTGCTGATAGCATAAACTTGTGTTTTAGTGGTTTTAATTGTATTGTATGGAGTGAATCAAATGAAAGGAAAATCAGAAATTATCATGGGTTATTAATGCTGTAATAACTGCATCTAGACATGAATGAATGAATTCGACAAGAGATATGAACTCAAAGAAACAGTCATTTTGCTGATGGATACACTGTTTAATTGTAGAAAACATATAAATGCATTTTTTTTCTATTTCTGTCAGGGGCTCTTGGTTCAGTTAAAGCAATTTAAGTAAGATTCAGATTCTTATTTTGACATACTTGTGGACTGTGCAAGTGCAAGAGAAAGTGAAAAATATAGGTGTTGAATGTGTTGGTGCTAAAACTGACATTTGGGATGGTTTTTTGTAGGAAAGCAAGTTTAATGATTTTCGAGAGTGAAAATGTGCTGAATGAAAGAATGATTGCTAAAATTCATGGGGGCAAGTTTGGCAAAAGAAAGTATTACATGGACAAAAGAGTGAATGGGAAATGGGTATTTAGTTCATTTCCTTCAATGTCTGAATGCTGTTTTTTCAAGGTCGTTGAAAAGAGACTTGAGATTCATTAGAGATATTACAAGCAACCCTGAAGCCAGTCTTACTTATGACAGATTACTACATGTAACTATGGAAATTTATACCTACAGGGGAGTTTGGGCAGGGTAGTCATCTATTCTCCCGGTCAACAAAATGTTGAAATACATCCAATAATTAGTCCCGAGTCATTTTCAGTTAACTTCTGAGCTTTCTTAAGATTGTATTTTTATGAAGAGATGTAACATTTGAGACAAGGTAAATAATACTTGCATTGCCAATCACATTGTCAATTCTGCCAATGAATGTCTGTAGCAATTTAAATATATTTACTAAACTATTAATAATGTCACTTCTATGGATTTCAGCATTGTATTAGTGATAGTTAATAATACAATTTGAAGATTAATAAAAATGGTTGTTTCACATCAGAGAACAGGAAAGTATCGGTAAAGAAAACAAGTGGTTGATTCACTCAACCAGCATGACTGCTCGAGGGCTAAATGCAATTGATATAACATTGTCAGTAACTTATAAGCCAAGCCATATTAAATATAATTTTTTTAAACATGCCCACAAGTTATTATAGAAAGTTTACAAATTCTTACACTCGGGTAAGGTGGTAATATTTACCTTATGTCCAGCTCCACCTACACGAAGGATATTGTCTGGTTTCATAGCATCTAGTGTGGCTTGAACTTCTGGAGTTGAATGCGAACGAGTGGTGGTAATTATTCTCTGACCTTCTGGAGCTGCTTTTGGCTCAAATCCACCAACGCCCACTCCTCGAATTCCCCAAATCGTTCGTCCTAGTGGTTCATTTTCTTTCTGGTAATTATAATATGGCTGGTGAATAACACCTGCCACTGAACGATTACCCACAGCAATACCAATGAGGACAGTAACATGGTCCAGTAGGCCTAACAAGAAACAAATTAAAATAAAAATGTTGAACAATAAGTATTGATTTTTAACTTCTAGAATGATCTGTTCAGTTCAAAATACTTTAAATTTTTTGTTCATATTTATGCATCTTTCTTAAAGCATGAACAGTTTGCTCATATCCATGCATACAGTGAAGTAAAAGCAGAGAAGCTTTTATGCTTGGCATATTTACCTTGTGTGTATTCTGATGTTCCATCTAAAGGATCAACCCAAACAACAACCTAAAACATCAAACACTCAATCAACAGAGCAAATGTTATTTTTTGCTAGTTTTCTTTATAATCAAATTTGATTTGAAATAATAAGTAGGAATTAATTAGATCTTGAATATCATTTCTGAAAGAATGAAGACTAAATCCAAATACATTTGTGTTCGCGCGCTTTTCCTACCTCTTCTGCGGACACCTGTTGCAAATTATCTGGACATTCAAGTCGAAGAATATCCTGGTCCACCTCTGACACAACCCAATCACTGGGTACTGGGCTATCTGAAGGTTCATCTTCTTCTCCTATGATAGTTATAGATGGAAATTGCTTCGAGAGAGATGTAATAATACATCTCTGAGCAGAACGATCGGCTTCTGTTTGCAGATCATTTTTTCCCTGAGGATACCGTAATTAATATATTAGTAGAAAATAGGAGACCGGGAAGAAAAAAAGTTTTGCCAAGAATCCTTACTGTCTTTTCTACGATGCCCAAATCTCCTTTGGACATAACATTTCGAATTATTTCCCCTGCACGATTCGCAATTGCTATCGACGAAGCAACCAAGCGCGGTATGAGTGGTGCGGTCTGCGCCATGTTATCTGCCAGACTGACGGAGAATCACGCGCGAAAGTAGAGCAGCATTAAGTTGCCTCAAGGACGTGACTTTCCTATTGTACCGAGGAATTATGTGGTGTGTTTGACAAAAACAGAATACGTGTAAGTATTTCGCCGTTGCTTTGCTTCATCGTATTAAAAGCGTCACGATAAGTACCAATACCATTAAAATATTGTAGATATCTTTCAAAAAATTGTAGCATTGGCGGAAATATTGATAAAGGATGTGTCATCTCTTCCATTACTTATCTTTTCGTATTTCGACCTATTTTTGAAATGTAAATGGATTGAAATGAAACATACTATTAGAATATATAAGTTTCAACGTTAAATGAGCAATTAACTTTCCGGCTGTTTGCTATCAACAATCGTTTGGGGAAAGTTTTCCGTATCCTGTTTTCAAATTGCATTCTACGTACTTTCATCGCTGCTTTACCGATTGAAATTATGTTGACAGTTGGTTAATTAAATGCTGTTTTATCAGTTTGTTGGGTCATGAACTTTAAGAGTTTTTTTTATATTGTGCAGATACCACAATTTATTTTGTCTATTGAAATTTCTACAGGTACACAAAATCCATAGACATAGTCTATGAAGTTGAAGACAGTGTTATTAGACTGTCAAAAACGTGTACTTTTTTTGCCATCGCCAATATAATAAAACAGTATTTTATTACAAATGAAGTTGAAAAGGAAACTTCGATACAAACCCCATCGCCTGAGCACGCGTGAGTCGCTCATCTTGCCCTCTAGCTCCCCTGTGATTCGGCAAGTGGCAAATTCAAGGACATACCCAAGAGCCCTACAGATGACTCCATTCGTTTCTCTTGGGGCTGTTGCAACCGGTGCAGTGCACTATGCCCCTCGAAGACGGGGGCCTCGAATGAGCACTTCAATAAAGGTGGAATTTCATTTCAAATAAATATTTATGTAAAAAAAGTCACACTTTATTCGTACTCGTCCCCGAAATATTTAATTAAGGTTATTTCTTATTATTGATGCAAATAAACGTAGGAGAGTTATTTCAAGAAACGACAACAAAAACAAAGAATTTGCTGGAAGGCCAGTGGTCGAGAGAGTTCGCCCTTCGTCAATTTACATAATTACGGCCATTGCAATTATTTACTCGTGCTTGTCCGACACTTACCGCATGACCAGAGCTTGTGTTCTAAAACTGAATATACGAAATTTTCATAACTACGCGATATAATGGCAAAGTTACAGAACGAATACACGAAAAACTTGAGTTGTGTTTCATTATACCGTGTGGCCCACCTAAGACGTTCCCTTCAATTTCTCCTGAACAGTTGCAGATACTGAGATGCGGTTTTCACTTAAACTACTATATGCAAGGGGCTCATATGATCATGCATAATATTATTCTATTGTATTTTTTGTTGCAGAGATATTGACCCAACTTAAATTTATTAAATGGAACCCCCTAGATTTTTTTAGCTCTCATAACAAGCGTGAAGAGCCGAGTTTATAAATATGCATATCGCCAGACATGACAAATTTTTTCGAGTAATTAAGAGTTTTACAGTCTTATGACTGCTGGTTTCCGTAATCTCAACGAGAAATTCCGGGTGATATGCGGCAAGGCCATTCCCTTCCATTGCGTCGGCCGAGTAAAGTGGAAAAACTGGAGATGCCTCGAATTGACTTATGAAGGGTATGTAGAATAAAACTGCGATGGAGAAAGAAAATGCAGTCAGAACTAAACGGGAACTCTCCGGATTTAGAAGAAATTTGTAAACGCAGTAAAGTAGTGCAGAAATATCCGGGAAGATGTTTCTTAGACGAAAGTCTGTTTCTTGGAAGTTTATTAGACAAAATATATTTTTATTGACTTAGGAGCTTATTTTCGAAGTTTCGTTGTTTCCTCCCTGGTCATCCTGTATACTTAATTTCGTACTTACTATCCTGTCTTGACCCTTTTACGGTCTGTGGAACTTGAATAAGGTCGGAGAAGTACGTTTATCATTATAAAACTAGTGGTGTTACAAGAGCACATACCTTCTCACATTATTTCTAAATTTTCAATTTGCGAAAATCCAGAATGTTCAACGAAAATGAGACATGCGTCATTCTTTAAAGCGTCCCTTCTATCTGTGGAAAAATTTGGAGAAGAGTTTTTTTTTTTTTTTTTTTTTTTTTTTTTTTTTTTTTTTTTTTTTTTTTTTTTTTTGAGAAACCGCATAAAATTGAGCCCTTATTACGCGTAAACTACTCGTTTTCTTTTTCAACAAAATTGTACATGACCTTTTTAAAGAGCTGATATTTTACAGCAGACTTTGTCTGAGGCAAAAAATCACTATCTTCAATTTTCTAGTTGAAATGTTAAATTTTTGCAATTGTCGAAAAAGAAACGGAGAGTTCGCCGAAAATGATACTAGCACTATACTATAGGATTTTTGAGAAAAAATTGTTAAAAAATTAAAATTGCCTTTATTTTGGGCATAATGACTCGAAATCTACTCATATTTTCAAAAAATTGAACATGACCTATTTCAAGATATCTTTAAAGAAGAGATTTCAATCAGGAAAAATTTCTTATCTGCAATACTATAATTGTAGGAAGACTAAAATAATTGCACTTTTGCAATTGTAAAAAATCAGGGATTTCAACGAACATTAAACCTGCCCCATTCTTTTAAACGTCCGTGTATATACATGAGGCCAAAGTTGAATAAAGAAATATAGTACCATTTTTTAGAAAAGTTTGAAAATGTTTTTGAGGCTTCATGTTGTTATGTACCCTCAAACTAGTAGTGCTCAACAGCATATATTTTATCGCATTATTTTTAAATTTGTAATTTCCGAAAATTCAGAGAGTTCAAAAAATTTTAGGAAAAATTTGGAGCGATTTAAAAAAAATTTTTAGAAATTTCAGATTCAAATTACGCGAAATCTACTTGTTTTGTTGTTTTTCAAAAAAATGTACATGATCTCTTTTAAAGAGCTGATTTTTACAAAAGATTTTGTCTCAAGCAAAAAATCTGTATTTTGTTTTTTGAAATGATAACTTGTTTGCGATTTTAGAAAAAAACGGAGAGTTCGCCGAAAATAAGATTAGCTCCATATTTTCTACCGTATGGGAATATTTAAAGAAAAATGGTGCCGTTGTAGAGACAAAATTGTTTAGGAAGAAAATGTCTATCTTCAATATTGTTGTAGGAAGACGCCCCAAAAATTGCACTTTTGCAATTTTCAAAAAGCCTTGAATTTCAACGAACATGAGCCCTGCACCATTCTTTTAAGCTTCCTTTACGCTATCCGAGGACTAAATTTGATAAAACAATGTGAAGCCCTTTCTGAGTAAATTTTGAAAATATTATTGAGGCTTCACGTGAAGTATACTTAAAAATCAAAATATCCGGTTGAAACTCCAAAACATTGAGTGCGTTCACGTCGATCGGGGAATAAAATTTTAAAGAAAATCGGTCTGTTTAGGAGCTCGCCTTGACCACAGACGGACTGACAGACAGACCGACGGGAGGGGCTGACGGATGGACAGCCGTTTTGCCGTCATTCGATTTTTCGGTATCAAGGACCCACGAAACATGGATTCTGGCTACACCACGTGTTTTGAGGATGTAATTTACTATACATAGCAACAGGATTTATTCGGTTTTTCGTTTCCAGGGCCTGACAATAACAGTTTTTCTGCCGAAATTCGCCGTTTACTGACACAAAATTACATAACTTTTTCTTCTTTCGAAGTGCGAGAAGGTAAAAATTTTTAAGTTAAAAGAATACCTCAATCAAAGCTTTTTATTTCTCCGTAATGACGTGGCATGCGAATTGCGAAATCGTTTTGCGCAAATTTCGTTATCATTATAACATTATCATATTATCGTTGAGCCTTTGCTTACCACTGGTGGCTCATTTAAGATGTCCTCTTAGAATATCTCCTGAGCCGTTACAAATATTGAAATGCGGTTTTCACTAAAACCAAGGTATGTGAGGAGCATATATAGGTATGTAAAATATTTTACTTCACTTTTTTTTAAATTTTTTATTTAAGTGATATCTACACAACTTTGATGTTTTAAGTTACCGTATAGAGTTCTCTAGTCCATGATAACTACCCTTAAGACCCGAGTTCATATTACCATATGTTACAAAACAGTTCATAATATAATTTAATAATTATAAATTTTGCTTAATAGCAATAGCAATAACAATAACAATAACAGTGGTAACCCATGATGTGTGTGAATATAATACTAATACTATTAATAATACTACTACCACCACCACCACCAGCTCTACCAATAATAATAATAATAATAATAATAATAATAATAATAATAACAATAATAAATAAGAAGTGTGTATGATATTTTATCGTTTTTAACTTATAATTTTATTACATTTGTAAAAATGATACAGTTAAATGGAAAATGACTCAATTGTGAGGTTACGGAAGTTAGTCAAACTAGAAATCGAGGTTCTGAAGTTTTTGTCTTCTTGTTTATTTGTCTTTGTTTTTTCTTTGCTATTTCGTTCCCGAGGTACCGGAACGTCGTTCCTTCGCATTCCCCCCAAAATCTAGACCTGCACAACAATATTTTTGAGAAACATGGCGTTTTTACGGCTATGTTATAGCTATTAACATATCTAGAAATGTTATGAGTGTTATTACTGCCGATGCCAAAAGTTAAAAATCGAGGCGGAGCGTAGCGTAGCCTAGCCGAAATTTTTAATTTGGACGAGGCAGTAATAACACTAACATTTCGTGGTATGTTCAGCGTTTTATCGGTCACCATAAAATCTCAATTTTTGAGAAAATTTACGATATTACTGCGACATGAAACACGTGAATTCTGTTGTTGCGCCACGATAATGTTGCACGTCGATATTGTTGGGTATTGCTTGCGATATATTTATTTCAACAATACACTTGTATACCGTGGCTCGAGGAAGATGGTCGTTGAAAATTCTTCTGTACCTCAAGAAATTTTGGATGCAGCTGCGGAAGCCACGCGAGATTTAATCCCTGAAAAATTTAAAGCACGATGCGTGAAGGCATACGAAGAATTTAAAACTTGGCAATTACAAAATCACTTAGCCTTGATTACAGAAGATGTAATGCTTGCGTACTTTAAGAACTTGGTATGGTAATTTACACTTATTCCTTTTATGAAGACAAACCATTGTCTTACGTTTTGTTTGGCAGTCGCAGGTACATAAGCCAACCTCTTTATGGGTACATTATTCTTTGATTACTATTTGTCTTGTAAATTACCATGTGGTTTTTTCATAATAATGTTGACTTGAGATGAATGAGTGGTTGTTATATGTTAGGTTACTAAGGATGTTAAAACCCGTTGCAAAGGATTTTAAATTTCTTAACCTACAGGCATAGAGGAGAGATACAATGTATCTCTCCTCTATGCCTACAGGTAGGTACAAGTGCACTTAACAAACTTACAGGTTGCATGTTAACAAGGGTAAAAGACGCATGTGACCGATAAATTATTCTGCCACTACCGCCGGGAAATGTGCTTCAAGGACGTTCTACTCGATTGCGTTGGCCCTGCGTGTTGAAAAAGACCGCAATGCTACTTCCAGCGCGGAGAGGCCACGCATCTGCACAAGCGCTCCAAGACCTTT